ATCATCACCTTAAACGAAATAGGGTGAATACATCTCAAATAACGGATTTACTGGTAGTCTCGAAACCCTACTTGTAAACGAAGAACACATACATGCACGCAGACACTGAGACATACACACATACAAGCACATGTACATGAATTCGAGTAGGTGTGCACATCAAAATTTGATATCACATATAAAAGTGAGGATCTAGACGTGCAATAAATGATTAGATTCGAAGAAGCTATTGGTAAGACTAACATTTATAAGAACTAAATGTGATTAAAGGACTGAAAATGGTTTTTCCTGCGATTAGATGGGTGGGCCTCAGGATGCCTTCCAGAAGATTATCTAACTTTGTATTGAGTAAAATACAGGTTTGACTTCGCGTCAGTCTCATCATCATCCCCAGTGAAATCTGATATCGTGTCGTGAATATCGTGGATTTTTTATCACTCCATCACACAGCCACAGGTACCAGAGGATAACAGGGTCGATGTGATATTTACGACCAATCAGGTCCATTAAAGATCCCATTTAAAGTGGAAGTGTCGAGTAAGGAAACATATGTTTGCCACTGCAGTTATCGTTGTTCTAAGTTCTTGTTCAAGAATTACAGATACTTTCGAAGACTACTTTTAATTTTTAATTATTTTTTAAAATATATTTTATTATATTATATTTAGTCATATATATATATATTTGTTTATGTAATTAATCCCTTTTTGGAGGCAAAGCAAAATGAAATTTAGCGGCATCCTGAGTTATACTCATTTCATTTCGGGCTAACTCAACTATTAGTTAAGTACTAATTCAAAGACTACTGGTACTTTCGAGACCTACTTACACCAAAAGTATAGTATCTTTGGTCTGAACAGCCTCCTAGAGCCAATTAAGACTTGCACCGTGTATCACATCATTGTCGTTGATGGCATTATTTAAAAGCAGGCTTTTCATAAATTATATTTTCACTTCAATTTGTCTCGAATAGAAGCGTGATCAGTCAATTCTGTACTGTCTGGCGATGGTGCATTATGCATAAAATAAGGTACCGCAGACCAACTGTCTACTGCCAACATTTCAGTAGTGTATCGAATTTAACGACAAAAGCACAGTTGCCTTAGAGAAAAGTTATCGAAAAATTAAATGATTTACGAGGTGCCTACTTTACAAACTTCCCTCCCT